ATACTTTCTCCAATTTCTCCTAAAACTCCGCGCATGGAGAAATGGAACAAGTATTTTAAAATGGAGGAAGTATATATTTTCTTTTCAAATTGTATAACTCTTGTACATAAGCATGATATAGAGTATGTAAATCAATCCTTAGATACCTAGGCCATGTCATCATCAGTTTAATAAAAAATTGATTAGCTTAGGGCCTGTTCACATTTACTTAATTTTAGTTCATTTCAGCTCCAATCAGTTCAGTTTAGCTCTAATCAGTTCAATTCAGTTTAGTCCAGTTCAACTCTCAATTTCCCTCTCTCATAAAATATTCATTTCAGTTCAGTTCAGTTCAGTTCAGCTCCAATCTGTTCAGTTCAATTCAATAAATGTGAAATGACCCTTAGTCCTCTAACATAATATCAGAGTTAACATAATACAAAGATCACGGATTTAAACCTCTCCTCATTTCAAAGTGGAACGTCAAAGGTCATCATCAATTACGTAGCAACATGAGGACTATATAAAGAAAACATAGCGCTTGAATTTCGCAGCAAAAGGCACGGGGTAACGCCTAAAGGCTCTAAATAGAAATTAAAGCATTATGCATTTGGAGGATTAATTTAGCGTTCTTTTTTCTCCCCACAAAAACCCAATGTTGGGGTAAGAGGTAGACATGCATGCACAACACCACAAATGAGATGCATTTCTAACTAAACGCATGTAATAATCTATCAGTACTACATACGTAAGATTTTTTATTTTTTTTTAAAAGATAATATAAAGGCAAAGTCTTTTTCTTTTTGGATATGCGCTAAAAAGATGTAAAGAACTGCAAGTAGGGATGATTTACGTAAAAGCTATACTAGAGTGTTTTTATTTTTATTTTTATTTTTTTTATTTATTTTTTATTTTATATATATATATATATATATATATATATATATATATATATATATATATATATATATCTTTTTTTTTCGGTTAATGATTATAAGTTTGTAACCCGAATTGCTATGAACTCAAACCGAATTATGCCGGGGTACATAAACTCTCTCCTATAGTAACCCTTTTTCACCCAATTCGGTCATGATCAACCAAATTGTTTATAACTTGAACCGAATTAAATTTGTACAAAAATAAATTGAAATTGAACCAACCTGTTAAATAATCAGAATCGAATTAATCCGACCTATTAGTTAACATGTCTAAATAAACTCAGTTAAGTCGATTTGTCTTAAAATTCTTAACCCAAGCCTAACCTAACTGAACCGTCAACCCAAATTGATAAGAATAGTTAATACTCCGTAGTCCGTAGATTTATGCATGCTTAACTAAGTTATACTTCCTCTGTTCTTTTTTACTTGACCTGTTTCTTTTATCACGCTTGCCAATGCAAAACTTTAACGGTTAATAACTTTAATTCTCCATAATTAAAAAATATAAAAGTCATATAGTATGATAGTACTTATTGAGACAAATCCAAAATAATCCAACATAAATATATTTTTCCTTATATATTATTCACAAAACACGGTCAAAGGAGAGGTGGTGAATAGTGTAAAAGTCAAAGCGGATCAATTAAAAAAGAACGGAGGAAGTATATTTAATGGGTCCTAGTGGTCTAGAAATGGATGGACGTTGTCGCAATGTGGTACGATATAATCTTCATTAATCAGTCAATGATAACGAATGAATCACCAAAAAAATGTAAAAAAAAAAAAATTACATCCGACAACTTATTGTTTAACTTATAATTTTGGTATCGACAGACACCATCATTTCATTATTACTGCTTCTTGGATTAAGCCACATCGATCTCTTCCATATATCCTTTTTTTTTTTTTTTTTTTTTTTTTTGAAGTTAAAAGTACACATTCTTGAAGGTCAAACACTTACTTTATTGGCGGTTTACAAATTTGACATTATATCTTATTAAATCAAAGATTAACGTGGCTTTAGTGAGGTACAGAATATAATTAAAAGTTAACAAAATGTGTGATATGTTAATCTCTCTTTATATTATTGCTAAGTTTATTCAAGAATTTGATTGATATGCATAACTTTATATATTTTGTGTAAAACACGCCGTCAAACCATCTAAATAATGAATTTATAAACTTTCCAAAACAAATCGATTTACAAACAAGTGTTTATTTTATTGTTTTCTATTATATATGATAAACTAGTTTAATTTTGTTTAGAAATATATTTGTATACACAATGTTAAATTATTGAAGTAGAGGTTGTGGAGTAATAAAATCGCTTTTCATCTCAAATTTCAAAGGAATAGGGATCAAATTAAACCTAACTTCATTTGAGAAATTTATCTTATCTCTCTCCTCAAGTGATTCTTCTTCTTCTTACCATAAAAATAACATTGTTAAATCATTGTACATATAACAAACTAATGATCAAAAGTTCAAAATTTCACAAGAAGTCAAATACAGAAAAATTTTAACCTTAGATAAATTCTACCAAGAAACTTTAGAAAATTTGTCAACTAATAATATAATTAGTTGATATTCACAATTAATTGTAGTAGTAGTAGTTAATAAAAACATGATGGGACATGATGATTAACGCAAAACTTATCAACAAGTAGTTCCCTAATGATTTCTTACTACCATCATCATTTCTTCACACTGATCTAAGAATTTGTAATTTGACACAAAAAATGAAAAATGAAAATAAAAATAAAAATAACAATAACAATCACATTCACGCTTAAGATTTCCATGCCTAATGATTTATCAAGTGTATTTAGGCCAACATTTGTAGTTTGTGGGCCATTGCATTGGTCGGCATGACAACAAACACCATTTTATTGCGACGACAATCTAATTATCATATGCTTTAGGGAGTGTTCAAAGTTAAATCATAGATACCCTCTATAGTTAGCTTCTCGTACATATAAAGAAAGGTTTATTATTATTGAGTAGTCTCAAATTATAGAAAAGGTAAACTGAAATTTCGAATTTCATACTTCATAGACTATACTCCATCTGTTTCATATTGGTTTGTGAATCTACTTGCTTTTCAACGTTTTTAACTGACGAATCTGTGTTTTAAAATCTTTAGTTAAGTATTAGTATAAATAATAAAAAGTTAATATTTTGAATCTATATACTACAATATAAAATTGAGGCGAATCTATCAAGTTCATTCTCATATGTATTTGCATGATATGTTTTACTTATATATTGACATACATTATGATCAAAGTTGGTTTTGCAATTTTTACATAGAGACATTCTTACTAAGCTCATCTATTATTGCAAAGGAGTGTGTTTAATTCGAATACATAATAGCTAGGGTAAACCTCAAATTACATGAACTTCAAATTTACTAGATTTAAGTAAGTAATTTTATAAAATACCACATAATAAATCGTTTGAATGAGATCAAATTTCAATTAATAAAAGCAAAATTTTTTTAGAGTTATAGTGAGGAGAACATGACCTGTTAGATCATGAGCACAAAGAGAAAGATCAAGCTAGCTAATTAATTAAGCTTCATATCAATGTGGAAGGATTTAATTAGAATTAAAAGAGTTACACTTTATACTTAATAGTTTATCTCAATCATCTACTCATTTCAATTATACATGATTGCCTTTACTAACCTATTAGATACATACATTAACTGTATACCTTAGGGATCATAAGGATGTTTCAACTTTTAAGGCAAGTAATTTCTTTCCCTTAATTACTTTCCAACCAAACAGTATATGCCGACTCAATCTTATGCAATTATTGACTTCTACATTATACTCCATCTGTTCCTAATAGAATGCCTCAACTTTAAATACGTAGTACATTTTTAAGAAGCAAGTGCAAATCTGCGCATATGGATAGACACAATATTGATGAAGAAAACGATCGCTAAAGTAAACAAATGGAATTATAAATGGAAAAAAAAAATTACCAATTCAAGTATGAAACAACCTTTTACTGATATCAATTTTGATAAACGGGACAATCTTTTAGAGACGGATCCAAAGAAGTAAATCACATTACTATTATGGTTTGCAATAACTCCTCCTAACTATAGACAATAGAGTTATAGTGATGATTAGTATGGTTAGAAAAAAGTGCAAGCATTCCTATCATCTCAATTACACAACATGGCTGAATAATACTCTAGTACCTGCTAATCCTGCCTAAGCAATGAGTAACTAAGATACACTGACATGTTTAGGATTTAGCTTAATTTTTATTTTCAAAGTATTTGTTTTTATGAGGCATAATTATGTTATTTGTTTTTGTCCAAAAACGTTTGCATGGAAGCTAAGCGTGACGTATCATAAAATATAGGGTTATTTTTATAATTAGTCTAGGTATCTTACCTCCTGTACATTTTATGAGATGTACCTGAATTGAAAATTTTATTTACATCTATTATGGAGTACTCTTATTTCTTTCTTCCTGAGTATCATATTCATATATTTTATATCTTTAACTATTACATATTGACATAACGACAAATAAGTTTAAATTATGAGTAATAAATACGGATTATTTCAAAAAAAAAAAAGAGTAATAAATACAGATTATATATTATTTTGAAAGTGTACATTCACTAAACTTTTGTTGTTTTCATCGCGTGCTATAAACGAAAGTTGCTAAACCTTATACTAGTATTTTTTTTTTTTTACAAAAAAAATGAAGCTTTTCATTGGGTCACCCTTTTATGTTTACACATCTATAGTAACTTGTCGGAGTTATAGAAAGAAGCATAAGGCCGACAAATTATAGTTCTACCACTGCAGCAATCACATACGCAGTCCTTGTAACAAAGATTACACACATTTTTTTACCGTACAAAAGAGAAATCCTAATAATCCAATAGTAGTACAGTTAAAATATAACTTCATAATCTTAATATAAAAGATAGATAATATAATTAAAATTTTATAATATGATATGATATAATATTATAATATAATGTTTGGTAACACTACATTTTAAGCAGTGGCCTTGATCTCATGATCTTCCCAGCAAACCAGGAGACCACTTCTTTGGCACGCCCATAAGGTTAAAAAAAAAATAGCATGGCACATCATTTTATTTTTTCACATGAACCACTTATTGATATCATTGCACCTATTCAAGCATGCCCTTTAATCCACCCATTCTAACCAATTATCTTTCATTATTTTTTTAAATATTTTTTCATAATCTATCTTTTATCCATTTTATTTGTAACTATATATATATATATAGTTCTCTAGATGTTGTCAAGTAGTAGTACATACATATTCTAGTGTTAGTTACAAAAGTTTTGAAGTACAAACACTATTTCTTGAGATATTCTAGTGAGGTGAGTGAAATAATATTACAACGAACGTACGTACGTTTTTTTTTTATAAACTTGAAAACGTTACGTGTTTTGTGATTTGATTATATTATGGCTGTATGTTCGGAGAAGAATGATACTGAAACGGGGGGCCAGCCCGTTTCAGCAATTGGGTTTGAGGGGTTCGAAAAGCGGCTCGAGATTAAGTTCTCGGGTGCGCCGGTTTTTAGTGATCCGTCCGGGTTGGGACTTCGGTCCCTGACTCGGTCTCAACTCGACTCGTTCCTCGATGAGGCTTCATGTACTATCGTGGCTAATTTGTCGAATTCGGAATTCGACTCGTACGTGTTGTCCGAGTCGAGTTTGTTTGTGTACCCACATATGATCGTCCTCAAGACATGTGGGACCACAAAGTTGCTCCTTGCTATTGATCCCACTCTCAAATTGGCTGAATCAATTGGACTCATTGTGTCAAGTGTGCTCTACTCAAGGGGAACATTTATTTTCCCAAATGCCCAAGTTGCCCCTCATAGAAGCTTCTCGGAGGAAGTTAGTTACTTGAATAGGTATTTTTGGTAATTTATCATCTGGGCCCCACGCTTATGTGTTGGGTGATCCGACGGTCCCGAATCGTCATTGGCATATCTACTCAGCATCTTCGGTTGATGACGTGGAGGATCGGGCGGCTGTGGTTACTTTAGAGATGTGTATGACGGGGTTAAATCGGGAAAAAGCCGGTGTTTTTTACAAAAAAGAGGGACATTTGGCTAAGGAAATGACCAAAATGTCCAAGATTAATGAAATTATTTCAAGTCACGTGATATGCGATGTGGATT